GATATACCAGATTGATCTCCAATATCTCTCTTAATTTGTAATTTTCAGGTTGCCCGTGGGTAGTATTTAATTAATTATTTCGCATTGATGTATGTATATCCTCAATAATCGCGACATGCGTGATACGTATCTTTCATGATACGAATCGTTTTTTGAATGTTCCGATCTTTGTTGCTCTTATTATCCTCTATCCTCATTCATAATAAGCAGCTTTATTGCGAACAAACGCAGTCGATATTAAATATCGCTTTAATTCTCTTTGGATTTTATTATCCTCTCCACAACCATTAATAAATAATATCTCGACTAAACGTAGACCGTTTCAACACTATTATTCTCTCTGATTTTCGCCGTTCCCTCTTCATCTTCTCTGAATCGTGATAAATGATTATATTATAAATAAACGTCGATTCGGCTGAAATCAAGCAACCCACCGTGAGTTGCAGCGTACAACTTCGAACAAAAGCTTGGCCAATACAATCTCAGCTGGCAAACAAGCCGGCAATAAAACGGGGATATTCGCTGGTTTAACAGAAAAGACTCTACTGCTTCAGTTCCGCGTTTTCACGACGTAATTACGAGCTTTTCCCGCGGGGGTGGAGACGTGTGCGAAGACCGTATCGTGGTTTCATCTGAACGATAAACTTTCCTAGAATCTGCTGGCCGTGCGATTCTCGAATGACACGCGTCGCTGGCCTACGGATTGACGTTTTTTTTTAGGACATCCTCTAATTTGAGACTCCCTTAATCCTCCCAGTAATTAAAAAAGCTAGCTAGCTAGGAAAAGGGGATCATCGCTCGGATTTTCAACCCTCTTTTCACCTATTCGGTCTTTAACTTCTTGTTAAACTGAAACTCTTGGAGAATTCACGGAACCGTACGTAACGTATGCGATTCGACCCTCGTTTCGTCATTTTGTTAACGATGTCTCTTAATTTCTTGGAAACTTGTAATTACTGATACGGATATATTTAATTGCACGAGCCGAAGATTAACGAGTTTCTAAACAGGACCAGAACACAGGTTTACACATATGCGGTTGCAAAATCATCATGCAGATTCTAACGCTGAACCTCGTGATAAAAAAAAACACATTTCCGTTTCACTCTAATTATTTTTAGTGCCGTAATGGGTTTTTAACAACTTCCAACGCGCTTTGTTTTGTTCTCTTGCTGGTTTATACGAAAATTTTCATTATTCTAGTTTAACGCAGTCAGTGAGAATAGAGCAAGCTAACTTTTTTAAAAGATGCTGCTAGGTAAGCTGATAGGTGGCAGAGAGCATGCTCGCATGGTGTCTGGCGGATTTAAACAGTGTTCGCCTAGCTTCAACGAATTTACGCGGCTCGAACTCGCGTTCTCCAATGTTTACGAAGCGGGGACCGCGTAAAACACGCTCGTAAATTTCAATTATGCCGCGGCTTATTACGCGGACAGAAATAAGAGCCGAGATAGCACCGGCTGTGCGTGTAACGCCCTAATTGGGCATTAAAACTTGTTAATTTTAATTCGGGGTTACGTCGATATTTTACATTCCCCGTTGCTTCTTTCTCCTCAATTTCCATAAATTTTCATTTTATCCCTTTCAAGATAAATTCACTTATGACCTCTGTGAACGATTTTTTTTTTTAATTTTGTTCGCCAGTCGCGAAGGTACTTGTGCGAAAATGTCAATCACTTACTTATCTAACTTAAACGATTAAAAATTAGCGTGGAACGCTTGCGTGCTGTTCGGTCCGGGAAGCAAATTTCCAAAAAAAGAGTTGACGTAATTCCCGTCGGAAATGCGCGACGACGTAGCGTGGGAACGGGGGATGCGCGAACCATTGCGAAGAATTCGAACAAATATTTGACATGCACGAGCTTTGGAAACTTCCGCGAACGTTGGCAAATTTTTTTTTCCCCATTCTCCTTTATTGAACAACGTTTGAATTCTCAACGCGATGGGAATTCATTCAATTTGTACATAGAAACAGATAAAAGAGTACAGGACGATAAAAATCTATTCAGTTAAAATTTGTTTTCCTTTTTATACATAATAGATAAACCTAAAAATGCCATTGAGATTTTTATTACAGGCGAAGATGAGGATGTTAAAGAACGAAGAATCTATCGGAACTTTCGTAACAATCGTACATTCAATCGAAACTCCGAAGCAAGAAAGAGGAGTTGAAAAGTTAATCTCCTGATCTTCAATTCAGGATCGCCCTCTTTTCTGCTCTTCGTCTACACAGCTGCAGTATATAATTCAGAATGGCTAGCCTATTTCCGTTTATCTTTATTCTACGGCCAGTTCAATTATTGGAATTCTACAAGTAACAAAACAGTAACAAGACTGCCTAATAAAACTACTGTAATCAAACACGTAAATGTACGAATGATAAGGATGAATTGATTTTTCATCGACGTTCGCAAAAATTATAAAAAGCTCGGGTACGTTTCTCATATCTGTTCGAAATAAATTTAATTAATAAATCCCCGTATGGACAAAGTTGGGCAAATCTTATATAAAAATAATAGACAAAGGATCGCGACACTTCATATACAGTCAATTCATATACATTTAAATGAAATTGCATTGCGAATCGTCAAACGTGTAATTTTTCTAGCATACGATTAATTTATTAAAAATTGCTATTTAATGCCCAACTGTGTTCCCAACGAATAAACGAACGGGTCGACCGACGAAATTGTATAAATGTGCGTTCCACGAACAAAATTTTCGATGAATCATTAAGTTTTAAGGGGGTGAGAGAGCGGGCAGTGCGAGGCGTTATCTCTCGTCACTCGTCAGAGTTCTTTATACTTTTCTTATTTCTCGATTTTGACGTGCGCTCTGTTTCCTTACCTTTTCGGACACTTCGAGGATCGTTTATTCGACTTCGGCCCTTCTCAGTGTCTATTCCCCTCTTTAGCATCGGGCGTTATCTCTTTAAACTCTCTCATTTCTCATAATACTGTTTGCTCGCTCTCTCAATTCTGTATTTTACGTCCTATCATCGGATCTCTACTATCGCGCGGCTCGAACCGTCAGTCCCCGTCTGTCAAAGGACACAAAGAGACCCCGGCGTGAGACATTTCTGTCACGTTATTCGCTGAACATAGTTGCCTCCATCAAGCCTCGCTGGCCGTGTCTTTTTATTCTTTATATTCACGACATTTTTTAATGCCTCCTGTTTCTTTTTCTTTTTGTTCGAGAAACCGTTTCGAGCGCGTCCACCCCTTCAACTTTCGCTTCGGAGCGAACCGTGCCGCCTACGCGACGCGAATTAATCTGTACCGAGTTCGACGCGGATCTGCTTTTAGTTTCAAGATTAGTTTCGTGGATTTCTGCGAGCGTCGTCGGTGGCACGGCTCGCGCCTCGGTCCTCGATCCGCTTGCGCCCTCGAGAGGCGTCGCGACGCGGAGGCAGACTTGGCAATGGCGAATTAGGGCTCGGGGGGGTCGCAACCGATCAAAATTTGTTGCCGGGACGCTGCGCTGCGGTTTGGGAACTTGTGGGTGAGATAGCTATATAGCGAGTTTTAGTATTAAATTGAAGAGTATTATTATGCGTGACGAGATTAGTGACGTGAATCTCTTGAAGAAAGCTCTAAGAAATACGGATATCTCGTGCCTGGCTGGGGCATACGAAACCAATCCAATTTTTATAAAACTTCATTAAATTCAGTTGGAAATATTATTTTTATTCCAAATTTCGTCGATACTCTTTTACGTCGAATTATTTTAAACGTGTAATCAAAATATCGTGCAGTATCAATGAAACATATTTTAAAACTGGACGAATTAATTTCAGAACAGGATAAACATCAAAATTTCCTGACTCTATAAATTAAGTTTAAAAAGAGATGATGTACATGTATAAAATCAGATATTGAAGTTGAAATCGAAGCATGGGATGAAACATTTCGTATACGGCAGCCCGGTCACGCTCAGCCGAAAGTTATACAAAACTGGTTACACGAATCATTTTAGAAATATCCAGACACAGGTATTGATTAATTTACGATACGTAAAGTTGGCTCAAAAAGCGGTTTTAATAAAAACAGTGATGCAACAATTTCTAGCTACAACTACCGTGCCAACGAGAGGTTCGAAGCTTCCGAGCAACATTGTTCTATCGGATTAACTTCTGGTATCGACACGCAGTGACCAGGCGTCACGTTCGGATACCGTAAACCGTCGACCGCTGCGTCGTATCGGTGCCGATTAGAGTTTAACCCCATCTTTGTTATTAATAATTTCGCCAAACGCCATTGCCACGATCTGCCTCGCGATTTGCCGCAACGGAGCCACGTATCTATATTCATAATTGAAAAACAGCAAGATTGATTTCCAGTGATACGTGTTTATTCAGAAATGGAGCGACCGAATTACTCCACTGACCACTCCAATCGATTTCCTCTTCAAGGATCAATGACGCTCGACATCCCGAGTGTTCGGGTTGAATTCGATACAGTTTGCATTAGGCAATTGTCTCGTAATTACAAACTATATGTATAGACTCGACAAGAAAACATGGCTCCGTGAAGAATACCGGCGCAAGCTTATAAGATCGAATTTTCTTAAAACTACCTGCGAATCTCGTACTGATAAATCCAAGAGAATTCTATTCGTAATTGTCTTAAGAACATTGTCAATGAGATAAAAAGTCGTGTTTACCAGTACGATAAATCCACGCATCTTAAATCTATAATAGTCTAAATTAGGCGACCAACGTGTTCGAGAGAATTGAATTAGAAGCAGCGTTTGTAAATCGTAGTATTGTTAGATACGAGAAAACGAAAGAGACAAGGATCGATAGAAGCGATTGCGCTGGTCGCCTGAGAACGAGAAGCGCGGATCGAAATGAGCTCGTATCAAATCGTTCCCCGCTTCTCGCGTGCGCCTGTAAATAAGTTCGTTTAACGACACAGTGTATAATAAATGAATTAATGACGATGTATACATATATATATGTATGTATATATATATATAAGTATAAGAATGTTCATGCACACCTCAATCTTTCTGCCCTCAACCACGGTGCCGTGTAGCCTCTCACGTGCCCGGTCCGCGTCAGCACTATTCGCGAAAGTTACAAAACCGAATCCCTGCATGCAAGGACAGACAAAACAACATGCATTAAACTCAACTTACAGACTGCCAGCGCTCGGCAAACCGGCCGACCGGCGTGCCCGACATTTCGTGCCCTCGCTTTATCATACAGATCTTAATCGTTTAACCAGAACAAAAAAAAGATGAAACAATTAAACGAAATGGGGAGTAAGAAAACTGATGTATGTAGAAGAAATGAAAGCGTGACGCTTTTTAGTTTCATTTATGTGACACGCAGTTTTTTGTAAGGTGCTCCGTGCGCAGAAAGTACAGAGCCTCGATCGATTTTTCAATCGTGAATTAAATTTTTAATTTTTGTTCTTTTCCCTTCATTTTCTTTCGTATTCGTTCCTATTTTTTATACGTACTCAGCACGTATTGTATTAATTAATTCCTGAACTCCAGATCCAAGTAATAATAATTTTACGTATGTAATGGAATACAAATTTGTGTTACTTCTTGGGAAAATGCATGGAATATTTTTATGGTGAAAATTATATTTTTAAACAGTGTTCTTTGTAACAGAAGAGCACTGATGGGCGAAGAGGATTTTAATAATTGAAAAAATGAATTAAGATTAATTGAATAAGCACGGTGATCGATTCGGGCCGAAATGTCGGTTCGCCGGCGAGTCTGCGAGCGCGTCATACTGCTTACGGAGACGCACCAAACAACGTGCAACAAATAAGTAAATATAAAATCATGGTAAGAAATCATGGTCATGGTCACATTAATCATCTCATTATCATATCATATCATATCGTGTCATGTCATCAATGGTCATCGTCATATCATTAAAAAGAGACTCTTGCGTTGTACCGAGAGGTGCGTGTACGAAGAGAAAAGAAAATAAATAAATAAATAAATAAATAAATAAATAAATAAATAAATAAATAAATAATGGGGGGCAGGGTTAAGAAGAGGATTATCGGGAAGGGAAGGGTTTTGGGATTGAAATCAGGTACGTGTGTGAATCGCGTGTGCTAGTGTGCTTGTCTGTGGTACTGTGGTGCCATAAGTGTGTGCAATATATCCTCGAACAAATTCCATACGGAGTGCTTGTAGAAATTGAAAAAAAATCTATATGTAAAATAATATTTTCAAGAGATATAACCTGACACGCTCACACCTCTTTAGGACTGAAAGTAAAATAATAAATCTTGACTTACACAACTTTATTTTACTTTTAACTTGTCCTAGAGAATGGATATTATCATTTAATAAATTACAAATGTTATCTTCGTATTATAAAGATAAGTATTTTCTATGCCAAGAGGCACTTTATCTTTCCTTCAGAGAATTGATATCGAGCAGGGAAAAAATTTATGGAAGAAGATTGCGAGTGTGGATAAACCGACCCTGTTGCTACCAGAACAGCTACCAGTATAAGAAGACCACGTGAAAAATCTAATGTAACTTTGAGTTGTCTTGAAGAACGAACGAGAATGCAAAATTATCGTGCAACTAATTCGGAGGACTATAATCGAATCAATGAATAGAAATAGAATTGGCTTCAGGAAGATGCCTTCAGAATAATCAACGTCCATGATTTCCTGAGTTTTGTTAATTAATCAGACAGCCGCTTCGCTTCCAAATATGAAACTTTTGACGTAAAATCTTCAATCTTATAATAGCTACCTCGAAAATCCTTAGTTTACCAAATTAGATTAAGCAAGATGGAGTTCGCTTCATAGAGAGATTTTTAATGCTTTTAATACCTAATTTTAAATTTAAATTCCATATAACTTTCGACGTATCTCACGGAAAACAGAAACTTAGTACATAAAGGATACTTTATCGATCACCTGTTTTTATAAACATGCAAATTTGTTATCGTTGGAAATTCCTACGACGAACTCAACCGTCCGGAAGATTTACGTTTTTAAGCTTACGGAATTTCCCGCCGCTCGCTCGCGAAACCTCTCAACTTCCCATTTTGAACTTTTGAATATTTTAATCCCTTCTCTCGGGCTGCTCGACTTACACTCTGCATTTTTTATCTCCCAACCCCCCCCCTATCCATACTCCAACTTCCCGTTCGTTCGCAGTTTCCATTAAAAGTCAAAATGCATCCTAAGCGACGTGGAACGTACCAACTGTAATTTGTTATACTCCATAAATTTGTAGAACGCAAAATCGAATAAACATCTTGGAACGATCGGCTGTTTGAACAATATTTCCACGCCGATAATTAACCAGAGCCGTTCGGCACAAAGCGTTTCCGTTTCTACTTCGCTTTGTGCTCGTGCAATGGGAATGAATCTGTCACCTCGAATAACGCGCGACTCGTACACACTACCACACTCTCAACATAAAACAAAAAACAATTTTATAATTCGATCTGGATATTCGTTATTCCAGTCTGGAGTTTTTAAACAGAAAATTAAAATCAAATGCTTGAACGCGCGATGTTTAGAATTTGAATACAAAAATATAAATGAAAACCATGTTGAGCAGCGACGGTGAAAAGTTTCAGAGAGCTGTTGTTTGTCACCCGTTTTTCAACGAAACCCTCGCAGCCGCGATTCACTTGGGAAATCAGCATAATGTCGATAAGCCGCGAACAGCGACAATATCGCGGCTCGAGAACGTAAAGGAGAACCGAATACATAATCGCCGAATCGATTTGCATCTCGAATACCTCGTGCTATTTCGAATTCAACAATTTTAGCCAAACCGAGTTTGTCTCACTTCAGGAGGTCTGTCAAAATCCAATAAAAACCGAAAACAGATACATTTGACACTCTGCGTTGCGATTTAATAATTATTTCCATAAATAAGCCAATTTTGAATTAATTAAAAATATTCTTGTTTCTTCGAATGTGATTCATCGAACTAATAAAAACATTATTAAGTTAAAAATGTCTAATGCTACATTTTAAGGAGACAGACGATGAATTTCGAAAATATTTTACTGTATCTAATTAATCCTACAAGCTTTTTCCTGAAGATGGTCGAGCTCTTTATTTCTCCGAGGTTTTCGTGACGGGATCGCGATCACAGCGAAAACCTTTAAGGCCTTATCGGCTTTTGGAAAATTGAGGTTGGCGTGCAGCACGGGACCTAGCGAGGGCTTTCTCTTCTTTCAGGAAATTAATCCACGCCGCGATTCTTACAAATCTTCCGAATGCTCGCCGCGATACCGAGGAGCTTCTCGCGTTAATCCTGCTAAAAACGGAATCGCCCCGTCACGCCCCCTTCCGTTTCCTACGACGTCCAATTCTCCTTTCTTTCCTTACGTTTGTTCAAATCTATTTGGGAATCTTGAAACTCGAGATTGGCCAGATACAAGCTTTTATTTTAATACACTGCTGTGCAGTGGTTCCGAACGACGCAAATTAATTGCGATGCAAGACTTCAAGGGAAAAGCCATACAATCTTCTTATCGAACGATAAAATAACAAAATAGGTATTTAAAGTCACGATAGTTCAGCCGTTTCAAAGAGCTTGATTACTCCAAATTAATTTGTCACGACTGTTTCACAGATCCTCCGGGTTCTATACGAATCTCGCACGACAACAGGAAGAGGTGTATTAGAAAAACAACCAGCACGTTCGCCCGATAAGTTTCGCGTCACGAAAACGAAATCGTGTGCCAGCTTATCGAGCGATTTATCTTGCCGTATACAATTGAAAATCGAGCTTACTTCCCTTACACTTACAAGAAGCGGGACTGTCCTAAGCTCCTCCTTCGCGTAAATACTAGCCGATCAAAACTCCTGCCTGAGAACGACGCTAAAAATTATACTTAATTTATCCATTAAAATGAACGTTCCTTTTACTAATATGTACTTAATTCTTATATTTTGTACACACGTGACATACTATGTTCATATTTGATCAAAATCTGTAGTCTACTTATTAGACATTGAATCCAATGTCTGCATGTTGAGAAAGTACAGATTGGTTTCACGAGCGAAGATTGACGAAAGGGTTGAGAGGCGTTGAAAGCGTTTCCGTGTCGTGTATCAGGACTTTTCCTTGTTTCCTGAGGTAGCAGATGCGAGAATAATGATATTCCTCGAGCCCCCGGGGCTGCTGTTACCAGTTAATTAGCGTTCCGCGAGGATTAACGGAACTGAGACTGTTGCCTTTCCTGAGATTGACTCTCAGACAGATGAGCTCAGAAATGGGAGATCCTTTCGAGTGATTTAGGATGTTCTACATTCCTATTAGTTATTTATTCTAACGACTAAAATTAACATCGCTTCTAGTTTGATTAAACTGATATTTTATAAAGCAACATACTATGTTCATATTTGATCAAAATCTGTAGTCTACTTATTAGACATTGAATCCAATGTCTGCATGTTGAGAAAGTACAGATTGGTTTCACGAGCGAAGATTGACGAAAGGGTTGAGAGGCGTTGAAAGCGTTTCCGTGTCGTGTATCAGGACTTTTCCTTGTTTCCTGAGGTAGCAGATGCGAGAATAATGATATTCCTCGAGCCCCCGGGGCTGCTGTTACCAGTTAATTAGCGTTCCGCGAGGATTAACGGAACTGAGACTGTTGCCTTTCCTGAGATTGACTCTCAGACAGATGAGCTCAGAAATGGGAGATCCTTTCGAGTGATTTAGGATGTTCTACATTCCTATTAGTTATTTATTCTAACGACTAAAATTAACATTCGCTTTTATAAAGCAAAAATAATATATGAGAGAATTGTCTCAGTTATTCAAATTAATCTCTTAAAGACTCTATCGAAAAGATTTATGATGCAGTTAGACTGAGTGACAATGAGAGAGATCAATAAGATTTCAATTGGAGAACACATGAAATCAAGCAAATTTCAAAGAAGCGAAAAATTTACGACGCAATTAAGCTGAGTAAGTAACAATGAGATGAATCAGAATCAATATAGCTCGTAACTTAAGTGAGACTTCAACCCGAGAACAGATGCGATCTCTAAGAGAGATGAATAATTGGTCCGGGGCTGGTGATTAATTGCCACCGCACCTGTCGCGTCGGAGAAAACCGCCTCGACTACTCTAATCT